ACGGGATGATGAGTGCCGGCGTGTGACAGCTCAAAATTGTAATTGTGTCCTCCTTCGGAGAAAAGACGAAGATACTCACGAGAGTCCCAGCCTTCTTGCTTGAGTACCGACTTGGCTACTTTGTATTCTGAAATGATTGAACATAACTGGGAGAGGGGGAGAGAGAGAGAAGACATTATTTAAAATAAGAGTGATCATAATGTTTGGTTTACTTTATGTGCTGCATACACAACTTTGGGCGTGTGTTCTTTTGATTGGGTCAAACGAGCAATTGGAGTAATTCCATTGCAATCACGGAATGTGCTGAAAAATAGAAAGAGTACATAAATTATTAAAACTGCTCCAAAATGGGGCCAAAGTCCCTTGTACTATGTACAGAGAGTCTTTGACCAAATTTCATCAAAAATGAAACTTTAAGAATTTTCATTTTTTATAATTATTCATATACGTATACATGTTCTTATGTTGTGTAACAAGTTTGAGCTGATTCCAATCAATTTTGAAATTTTTATGAATTTTTGAAGTTGTTCGAAAATCAGGTGAAAGTCCCTGTACTATAGTACAGGGATTTTGGCTAAATTTGACCAAAAATGACTAGGAGAGAATTCTCAATTTTTATAATTTTTTCTGATACATATACATGCTCTTATGTTGCGTAGAAAGTTTGAACTGATTTCAATCAAATTTGAATTTTTTACGAATTTTTAAAGTTGCTCCAAAAGCCATATACTGTATTGTAGTGCTTGTCAGCTCATGAAGCTCATGCTGTTTAGCTCACTTAGCATGCTTTGTGGGAGAAGCCCTGAGCTAAATATACACATGTACATGTACGGTACATATAATACAACTAATAATGATGGATGAGTGTATTACCTGGTGTTGTTATAATTATCTATACACAACTCCATTAGTGTACAAAGCAATGAAATGGTCGTTGATTCTGATATACCCAAACTATTCTGGCCATATGGTATCCTAGGGATAATCCCCTCTATACCATACTGACCTGGAGAGAGGGAGGAGGAGAGAGAGAGAACACAAAAGGAAATGAACCCTATACATCATAACCTCTTTATTCATTACCAATTATTTCTTTATTTGTTTCATCAATGGAGAGGTTACGTAGTGCCGTGGAGACCGATCTGACGACAGTATCGTGGGCGTGGTTCAAGTGCTCAATTAAAAGTGTTAAACCGTTTGCTTTCCGAATCAAGTGACGCTGGTACACCGCCCACTGCATTAATTAAAAAGGAGGAGCTTGTCATTAATTAAAGAGGGAGGAGCTTGTTATTAATTAAAAAGGGAGGGGGGGTTGTGATTAATTAAAGAGGGAGGGGCTTGTGATTAATTAATTAAGTGTGACAGTACTTTCCAATTGCAGGCAGTGAGGTTCTGTATTGCTCCAGCAGCTGCCTCCATTAGGTCGGTGGTTGACGT